GAGGAACTTTGTAATAACAGGGAAGGACCGTGTGAGGTGCTGGAGACAGCCTAATACATATTAAAAGTATTATATACCGTCACGTATATTAATAAAATTCAATATGAAGTTTACGGGCTTTTACTTAAAAGATATTTCGCCCACCAGTGGCCTTAATTAACAATTCTCCATAAAGTCTTTGTGGGACGAACCGTCTTGTGAATATTACTTTAGAAACCGACAAGTTGTTAAAAGAGACTCTTATGTAATATTTTATTCTGGAAACGTTTCGCCAGTCAGTGGCTTCTTCAGTCCAGTGCAGTCCAATGCTGAGTGACTGATTACCTCAAATTACTTCTCATCTTCCACCTTTCTCTACAGTGGGTTGAATAGGCCACCAGTTGTCAAAACATTTCCAGAATAAATATTCCCAAATGTTGAACAAGTGTCTCATTTATCAACACACCGCATATTGTCTTATTAACACTGCTTAATACAGTAGATCCTGTTAGTCCCAGCATGATTCTATCAAATGTCTTTAAAGAATGACCCAATGGCTTTTAATTAGCCGTCAACAAGAAAAGGAGAAGCATTGCTAATCAGAAACAAATTGAGTTTTGAGGATATCAAAGGATTGTGGGAAATTATGGGGACGAGGTTCACAGGTTCACATTCCTGAAATATTTCATCCACATAATTTAAGGGGGGCACAATTAAGCAACAATTGATTGTACTTACCAATGTTAATTGTACCTCAGAGCCAGGTAAGGTTTTAGAGACACTAGGTTACACTGTGTCTCTCCTCCGATACCCTCACACACTCTTTCCCACCCAGAAACAACATAAAATTAATACCAATAATGTTGGTAAATTACAAGATATTGATTGGACTATATATTGGTTTGTGACTTAAAAAGGAAGGGGGGAGGGATCTGTTGAGTATACAACATATTACAAAAAAATATGCATATTATATAATGAGCACTGACCATTTAATTACTGGATCACAATTATTCTATTTATGCAACACACCCTAACGCTACCACTACAGTTAGAATTTACGATGGTCAACACAAAACTACTGTACATTATGGGTAAGCATCTCTTAGCTAAAGTGAGCTCCTAGGAAGAATGTGTCCTCTATTTTTCCATACTTTTCGGCGAAATGTATGAGTTTTCCACACTATTTATCACAATTCCTCAGTGGAACATGTCAGCAATTTCTAAATTACAGATTAAGGCTGATATACACCCATTGACGCCTGATTACACTGCACTATTAAAGGACCCGTATTCACATATTCAGTTTCAATATGGCGTCTTCCGCTTCACTCTACGGCTGTTCCACATCCCCCTTTACTTAAAATTTCTCAAAAAGTCCAAATAGCATCACATTTTAATGTTCATTTATATTATATTACACATACTGAATTCCGGAAAATTACAAATTTTCCACAAGAAATAAACAAATAGGGGGTTAAACGAACTCATATGAGGCATATTTCAGTCTGGGAAACTAAAGGTAGACGAAGACTGAAATACGACGGCAACAAAAAGAAACTGGAGAACACCATAGCTGAAGAAAAAAGAAGAGCCCATTTGACCACTCTAAACTGATGATCAAAGGACACTTTGAACCAAGAGAAAATATAAAGGGAGAATTGTGATACACATAGAGTGGATACGTGGAGGTCTTAGACAATACAGTCTTTGATGAAAAGCTTTTTAGCGACAACATATTGTTCGATGAATGAGACACATTTGCAACACCTGGATGTCTTTATTAACGAAGCATATTTCCTGCACAACTGGCTTCTTCAACCGAATACAGGTGAATATAACACTGAAGACAGAGGTAGTTGTTTTGGCGTAATCAGTCCGAGAGCCTTGGATAAAGGTGTTCAGTCCCGCTACCAAAAAATATGGGCATGTGGCAAAACCTTATATACTTGAGCAGGGATGAGACCTTATATACTTGAGCAGAGATGAGACCTTATATACTTGAGCAGAGATGAGGTGAACTAGACAGAGGTGACATCAGATGTGAGGGCGGCCTACTAGCTGAAGTAAGTCTGGCTAAACAGCTCCTTAGCAAACTATACAAATGGTAGACCTTAATTTAATTATATGGAGACATTTCTCAGTTAATACCCTCGGTGTAGAATCATGATCTCCTGTTGACACTATGTGATTCACCCTTCTTATTCTTACCTCTAGGCAGAATGTTGCCATCAGCATTGTGAGAGTATGATTCATCACTCTCATTTCTATCTTTAAAAACAGTGATGGCATCAGTGGTACACACAAAACCGACCAATCTCAGTAATACATTACCTTCAGGAGGTGTGACAGCATCAACGCAGTGCTGAGGACTGTGACCTCCTGAATTAGCGGCCACTACACAAACATTGTAAATAGCATAAGGTCTCAAGTTTGAGATTTCTTGCGGAGATGAAGCATTAACTAGGGTGATCTTCGGTTCACTGCTCAGTCTTCCTCCACAACTTCTGTACCCCACAAGCTGTATTTAAAGATTTAGTTAACATATACAGAAACAACCAGTAATTATCTATTTATGTAGAAAGATGATATTAATGCATTTTGTCCTTTATCTTAAATATGTAAGACTGCAACTATGATTACCAGGTATTTTCCTCTTTCCTTAATTCTCAGACAGTTGTTTGTGCATTATAAATACCTGAGGGAATATTATACCTGAGGGTATATTATACTTGAGGGAATATATCTGAGAGTATATTATACCTGAGGGAATAATATACCTGAGGGTATATTATACTTGAGGGAATATACCTGAGGGAATAATATACCTGAGGGTATATTATACCTTAGATTATATTATATCTGAGGGTATATTATACCTGAGGGTATAATATGAGGGTATAATATGAGGGTATATCATACCTTAGGGTATATTATATCTGAGGGTATATTATACTCTCAGGTATAATATACTTGAGGGTATATTATACCTGAGGGTATAATATACCTGAGGGTATATTATACCTTAGGGTATATTATATCTGAAGGTATATTATACCTGAGGGAATAATATACCTGGGGGTATATTGTACCTTAGGTTATATTATATCTGAGGGTATATTATACCTGAGGGTATATTATACATGAGGGTATATTATACCTTAGGGTATATTATACCTGAGGGTATATTATACCTGAGGGTATATTATACCTGAGGGTATATTATACATGAGGGTATATTATACCTGAGGGTATATTATACCTGAGGGTATATTATACATGAGGGTATATTATACATGAGGGTATATTATACCTGAGGGTATATTATACCTGAGGGTATATTATACATGAGGGTACATTATACCTGAGGGTATATTATACCTTAGGGTATATTATACCTGAGGGTATATTATACCTGAGGGTATATTATACATGAGGGTATATTATACCTTAGGGGTATATTATACCTGAGGGTATATTATACATGAGGGTATATTATACCTGAGGGTATATTATACCTGAGGGTATATTATACATGAGGGTATATTATACCTGAGGGTATATTATACATGAGGGTATATTATACCTGAGGGTATATTATACATGAGGGTATACTATACCTTAGGGTATATTATACCTGAGGGTATATTATACCTGAGGGTATATTATACATGAGGGTATATTATACCTGAGGGTATATTATACCTGAGGGTATATTATACATGAGGGTATATTATACCTTAGGGTATAATATACCTGAGGGTATATTATACCTTAGGGTATATTATATCTGAAGGTATATTATACCTGAGGGAATAATATACCTGGGGGTATATTGTACCTTAGGTTATATTATATCTGAGGGTATATTATACCAGAGGGTATATTATATCTGAGGGTATATTATACCTTAAGGTATATTATATCTGAGGGTATATTTTACCTGAGGGTATATTATACATGAGGGTATATTATACCTTAGGGTATATTATACCTGAGGGTATATTATACCTGAGGGTATATTATACCTGAGGGTATATTATACCTGAGGGTATATTATACATGAGGGTATATTATACCTTAGGGTATATTATACCTGAGGGTATATTATACCTGAGGGTATATTATACATAAGAACATAAGAACATAAGAACGAAGGAACACTGCAGAAGGCCTACTGGCCCATGCGAGGCAGGTCCAAGTCCCTACCGGCTTAAGCCAATGCACCCAACCTAGTCAGGTCAGGTCACATTGACTTAAGGGAGGAACACGGCAACCGACCTGTTAGCACAAGCTATCAGGTCCAACTCACACCCACCCACATCTACTCATGTATTTATCCAACCTATTTTTAAAGCTACACAACGTTCTGGCCTCTATAACGGTACTTGGGAGTTTGTTCCACTCATCCACAACTCTATTACCAAACCAGTACTTTCCTATATCCCTCCTGAATCTGAATTTTTCCAACTTAAAACCATTGCTGCGAGTCCTGTCTAGGCTAGATATTTTCAGCACACTATTTACATCCCCTTTATTTATTCCTGTCTTCCACTTATAAACCTCAATCATATCCCCCCTAATTCTACGTCTTTCTAGAGAGTGCAGTTTCAGGGCCCTTAGTCTATCCTCATAGGGAAGGTTTCTGATACATGGGATCATCTTTGTCATCCTCCTTTGTACATTTTCCAGAGAATTTATATCCATTCTGTAATACGGTGACCAAAACTGTGCAGCATAATCTAAATGAGGCCTAACCAAGGATGTATAGAGTTGAAGAACAACCTGAGGACTCCTATTATTTATGCTTCTTGATATGAAGCCAAGGATTCTATTAGCTTTATTGCGAACACTTATGCACTGTTGTCTTGGTTTCAGATTACTGCTAACAAGAACTCCTAAATCTTTTTCGCAATCCGTAATATTAAGATCTACATTATTTAGTTTATATGTGGCATGGTTATTGTCCTGTTATTGTCCTTAGGGTATATTATACCTGAGGGTATATTATACCTTAGGGTATATTATACCTGAGGGTATATTATACATGAGGGTATATTATACCTGAGGGTATATTATACCTGAGGGTATATTATACATGAGGGTATATTTTACCTGAGGGTATATTATACATGAGGGTATATTATACCTTAGGGTATAATATACCTGAGGATATATTATACCTGAGGGTATATTATACCTTAGGGTATATTATACCTGAGGGTATATTATACCTGAGGGTATATTATACATGAGGGTATATTATACCTTAGGGTATATTATACCTGAGGGTATATTTTACCTGAGGGTATATTATACATGAGGGTATATTATACCTTAGGGTATATTATACCTGAGGGTATATTTTACCTGAGGGTATATTATACATAAGGGTATATTATACCTTAGGGTATATTATACCTGAGGGTATATCATACCTTAGGGTATATTATATCTGAGGGTATATTATATCTGAGGGTATATTATACCCTCAGGTATAATATACTTGAGGGTATAATATACCTGATGGTATATTATACCTGAGGGTATATTATATCTGAGGGTATATTATACCCTCAGGTATAATATACCTGAGGGTATAATATACCTGAGGGTATATTAACCTGAGGGTATATTATACTGAGGGTATATTATACCTAAGGGTATATTATACCTGAGGGTATATTATAGCTGAGGGTATATTATAGCTGAGGGTATATTATACCTGAGGGTATATTATAGCTGAGGGTATATTATAGCTGAGGGTATATTATAGCTGAGGGTATATTATACCTGAGGGTATATTATACCTGAGGGTATATTATACCTGAGGGTATATTATAGCTTAGGGTATATTATACCTGAGGGTATATTATAGCTGAGGGTATATTATAGCTGAGGGTATATTATACCTGAGGGTATATTATACCTGAGGGTATATTATACCTGAGGGTATATTATACCTGAGGGTATAATTATACCTGAGGGTATATTATACCTGAGGGTATATTATAGCTGAGGGTATATTATAGCTGAGGGTATATTATACCTGAGGGTATATTATAGCTGAGGGTATATTATAGCTGAGGGTATATTATACCTGAGGGTATATTATACCTGAGGGTATATTATACCTGAGGGTATATTATACCTGAGGGTATATTATACCTGAGGGTATATTATACCTGAGGGTATATTATAGCTGAGGGTATATTATACCTGAGGGTATATTATAGCTGAGGGTATATTATAGCTGAGGGTATATTATACCTGAGGGTATATTATACCTGAGGGTATATTATACCTGAGGGTATATTATAGCTGAGGGTATATTATACCTGAGGGTATATTATACCTGAGGGTATATTATACCTGAGGGTATAATATACCTGAGGGTATATTATACCTGAGGGTATATTATACCTGAGGGTATATTATAGCTGAGGGTATATTATACCTGAGGGTATATTATAGCTGAGGGTATATTATAGCTGAGGGTATATTATACCTGAGGGTATATTATACCTGATGGTATATTATACCTGAGGGTATATTATAGCTGAGGGTATATTATACCTGAGGGTATATTATACCTGAGGGTATAATATACCTGAGGGTATATTATAGCTGAGGGTATATTATAGCTGAGGGTATATTATACCTGAGGGTATATTATAGCTGAGGGTATATTATAGCTGAGGGTATATTATACCTGAGGGTATATTATACCTGAGGGTATATTATACCTGAGGGTATATTATACCTGAGGTATATTATAGCTGAGGGTATATTATACCTGAGGGTATATTATACCTGAGGGTATAATATACCTGAGGGTATATTATACCTGAGGGTATATTATACCTGAGGGTATAATATACCTGAGGGTATAATATACCTGAGGGTATATTATACCTGAGGGTATATTATACCTGAGGGTATATTATAGCTGAGGGTATATTATACCTGAGGGTATAATATACCTGAGGGTATATTATACCTGAGGGTATAATATACCTGAGGGTATAATATACCTGAGGGTATATTATACCTGAGGGTATAATATACCTGAGGGTATATTATACCTGAGGGTATATTATACCTGAGGGTATAATATACCTGAGGGTATAATATACCTGAGGGTATATTATACCTGAGGGTATAATTATACCTGAGGGTATATTATAGCTGAGGGTATATTATACCTGAGGGTATAATATGCCTGAGGGTATATTATACCTGAGGGTATAATATACCTGAGGGTATATTATACCTGAGGGTATATTATACCTGAGGGTATAATATACCTGAGGGTATAATATACCTGAGGGTATATTATACCTGAGGGTATATTATACTGAGGGTATATTATAGCTGAGGGTATATTATACCTGAGGGTATAATATACCTGAGGGTATAATATACCTGAGGGTATATTATACCTGAGGGTATAATATACCTGAGGGTATATTATACCTGAGGGTATAATATACCTGAGGGTATAATATACCTGAGGGTATA